TGCACGAATTTGCACTTTTAATGTTCATAATTGTCAAATTATTTTATCAAATTTGTGATTTTAATTTCAAATATTCCTAAATTTAGAGGATTTAATTTTAATTGGATTTATTTTATTTTTCAGGTTTTTGAAGAAAACAATTGGATTTGGGCTAGTTTACCAAGCAAAACTCAAAAGTTGAGCCCAAGAAAAGCCCAATTCGGCCCAAAGCCCGTCAGCCCATCGTCCAGCCGAGCCGAGCCAAGAAGCCACGAGCCCATCCCAGTCGCCACGTGTCGTCTTCTGCCGCGCCGCAAGTCCGTGGGACCCAGTTGTCCCCGCATGTATGCGCGCTTGGCGCGCACAGATCGTCTCCCCGGGCGAGTCTCCTCCACGCGCGCGTCACCCGGATTTCCTTTCCTCTCTGCGTGGGTCCCGCGTTCTAGCATCTCTCCAATCGTCTTTCGCCATGCGTCTAGTGGGGTCCAGCTGCTGCCTCGCGTACGCGCGCTTTGCGCGCACATTCTCTCTCCGGGCGAGTTCTTCTCCTGCGCGCGTCAACTCTTCCTCCGCGTGGGCCCAGCCAGTATAGCACTTCTTCTCCCGCGCGCGAATCCACTTGCGACATGTGTCCCACCTCTTCAGCGACATTTGTGATGGTTTTTTTTCCCCCGTTAAGCCTTGTAACTTCTAAATTAGGATCCGTTTTTATCTTTTTAGCATTCTCAAAACTTTATAAATAGGGCCATTGTCAAGGTGATTAGGGGGTTGATTTTGGAGAGCCTAAATTCTCACACATTTTCTCTTGTTTTCTTGTTCTTATTCTCATACTTTCTTTTTAGAATTTTATAGGAATTATGTGCAAGCTAGGCTAGAGTATTTAGGTGAGGCTAGAGATGATCCTATATGTGTAGTGAACTTATTTGGATTTTTGATTCTCCAATGGTTTGTAAGTTTTATACATTTGAGTAAATAATTTTCTTTTATCATATTCTTCTTCTTATCAATATATTTTATTGTCAACTTTCATATAAATCTAGTCAAGCTCTTTTTATGTGATTGTTGCATTATATTATATATTGATAGATATTATTTTATGAGTAGTCTTTTACTGCAATATTGCCAACGATATATTGTCGCTCTTAGATTTCTCATAAGATAATTTTTCCTAATTCTAAACGTTAGAATTTTATTTACTCGAATACATTTTTAATTCATATGTTCTTCAAATATTTATTTTCCGATTGATTGTTTGGTGAGTCAATTTATGAATCAAAATCCAAATAGGTGAACAAAGCATATGGAGGATTCTCAAAGCCTTACCATTTTTTTTTTATTATTGAATTTTCTCCATTTTAAATTGTTAAAAAAAATCATCAAAAACACTCATTCTTTTTCTTTGTTTGATTGCTTACTTTCCTAACGCTTTTTATTTGCTAGTCATTTCTTGTTCAATTTAACACCTCCTCGTGGGATTGACCGTTCAAATTGTACTACAATTGACCACTTGTTTTTTTACACGTTTGGGCGTAATCAATGATGTTTGCAAAGATAAATAATTTCAATTGTTCAGTAGAAAAAAAAGAAGTTAGAAACAATTAATATCCAAAACAAGTGTGTTCTAACACTAAGTTCCATTTTTACGACATTATTTATACATTATTATTTTTTTGAAATCATTATTTGTACACAATTAAACTGAAGCCTAATTATTAGGATCCTTTTCATAAACTTAAATAATACAATTAACTGGAAACTTTTATGTTTAATTAGTTAAAGAGTTTTCTAATAATAAATAACAAGTCCTCACAAACCGCCGAATTAAGAGGCTATCCATTCAAACACAAAACTTTCTCCATATTATAACCCCCACATACTCTCTAACACCACGTACCCCGCTACCACCTTTCGCTTCCACAAACAGCAAAAACAATTAATTAGAATCACAAAGCAAATCAAAGCAAAACAAGGCAAGAGAAAAAAAAAAAAAAAAACCAAAAAATGAAGTTCATTAACACTTTCTTGCTCCTCTTCATCACCCTCTACATCTCGTACTCGCCACAACAAGCCGTCGCCCACGGCCACCAAAGCCACGCCAACAACCTCGAAAAGGCGTGCCAGCACGCGGGCCATAAGGACTCGTGCATTTCCATGCTCCAATCCGACCCCAACTCCCACAGCTCTGACGTCAAGGGCCTGACCTTGATAGCCCTAAGGCTCGCCTCCTCTAACGCCTCTGACATCTCCGAGCACATCAAGGTCTTGTTGAACGACTCGAGCCTCGACCCCGCGGTGCAGGACGGCTTGTCGGAGTGCCTGGAGTACTACTTGGACGCGGCGGAGCAGCTCGATGACTCGGTTGCCGCGTTGTTGGCTAATGCGTACAAGGACGTTGAGGCTTGGGTGAATGTCGCCATCATCGACGCTGCCTCGTGTGATTCCGCGCTTGATGGGCATGAGTTCGTTTTGGGGGGTAAGACTGACGCATTTCGTGGCCTTTGTGACAATGCCTTGGCCATCATTAAGGTCTTGGCTAATAATGAAAAGTGATGGCTAATTTCTACATGGCAATGACACATATTTTCTTGTGTACGTTGTCGTTTTGATAACTTTTGATTTATGTCTCGTAAATCGTTAGTAATTTATTAGTTATCAGCTTGTAATTACATAGCCCTTCAGTGGAAGGGACGTTAAATTATATTTGTTGATGATGATCATATCTCTTAGCTCAACTTGCCACACAATTAATTAGTTGATTGATAATTCCATTGTTGATTAGTAGTTTTCGAGTAACGGTCCCGGTGTGGGGTTAGGAATGAAGAGTCTTATAATTAAATTGCGAGGTGTGGATACGATTATTAGATAGCACCTGGGAAGATGTCATGAAATGGATGGGTTTTAAGGTTACATTTTGGAATTTGTTCAAATATAAAACGAAGATATTGTTATGACATTTTAACTCTTATTTGTCTCACATGAAAAAGTAAAAAAGTTTTTGGACACATTATATAGGTTGCAGCTACAACGTTAAGTTAATGAAATGTACATAATTAAGGATATAAGCCTGGTTCGCTTTACATATTTGAGTTTTTAATTTGAGTTGAGATATGACATTTTTTAAGAATTTTTAATTAGAGAAACTTAAAATTGAAAACTCAAATTGGTAAAATATTATATATATATATATATTAATTCACATCATACTCAAATTGAAAAATCAGCATTTATCTCTAAGCCTAGCTCTTATCTGATAAGGATATAGCATTATAACCAATATGTTAAAACCAATCCGTTAATCCTTGCCCATGGATAACGCTTTAATGCATTAAATTCAAAGTCCAATTCAAATCTTGAATCTTCTATAAATCTGCTGCACCTTTTTTCCAAATTCAAACGCAAGTTCAATACAACTCTGTTTGTTGAACTTCTTGACTTGAACCCCATGTACAGGACGTCTTTGAGCTTCACCTGTTTTTTTTTGTTTTGTTTTTGTTTGTTTTTTTTTTTTTTGAATTTACAAGTTGCCATAAAATTGCCAGCAAAAAACCTAACACATACCTTGTACTTAAGGTTAGCTTCTCCTCGATTTGGTCAAAGTTATTGTCTTTGTTAGCATTTATTTGTTTTTAGAACTTAATTTTTAAAGCTACACGTGTCGGTGAAGAGATTAAGAAGCGGTACTAGTGGAGCATTGTTATAGGGCGGTGCACAATCACCACAAATTAATTGTTTTCCCCTAATTGAAATATTAGGTCCGTTGCTTTTGCTAGTTAATTTAAATCACAATTTAAATTTTTATTATAATATTTTTTATAAATATTTAAATTTAAAAATTTTTACTATTTTTTTTTATAAATTAACTTTTTAACTCAAATTTTTTAAATTTTTTATTGTCTTTTCTTTTGCTGTGTTCGTTTTTTTTTTTTTTTTTTTTTTTTTTTTTTTTCCAAATTATTTGATCGAAAGGGCCGGTTTGTTGTATTATCTCAGAACAATCTAGGTAAAGTTATTGCGATTTCCTTTTTACCGAACAAATCTTTCACGTGGATGAAGATAATACGTTAACTATTAAGAAAGAAATATTGTCAACCGACAAATTTAGGAACTATCATGTAGCATGCAAGTGGGTCCACCTATAATATAATAGTATATATAGAACCTTTATAAATTCTACATAATACATGTAAAAAAGTCGAGTGTAGTATACTTTTTTTTTTTTTTTTTGATAATTCAGTGTAGTATACTTTCTTCTTCACTAAAGACGCTAGTACTGAATAATTGTTTATATAATATAAGAAAGGTTCATTACATTCTAATGGTCATAATTAGCAAGTCGTTATCTAATTCGGCCTCCATATCAACTCACACAGGGCCTTATTGGTTATAATTAGTACCATAATTAAATCGAATCTAAACTGTTCATTGTGAATTATTGGCCTCACATTCTAGTAGCAGTATTATAAAAATTAAGTGCGCACACCATATAGATAACGTTGCTACCGAGAACACACGAATACTAAAAAGCTAATTAACCTCCGAATTAAAAAAGAAAACATGAAATCAAACGGATAGACATTATACAATAAAAATTACCTCCCCGTATATATAACGATATATTAATTAGGGGATATAAAATTGGCTAGCTAAATAGAAATGGAGGGCCTGCAATATATATCCAATAATTATCACTACAGGAAACTGGGCTATTAGCGACGACAAAAAGTCGTTGCAAAAAATATAAAGTCGTTGTAAATAAATTTTTGGCGACCACTTGTCGTCATAAACCTGTCACCGCAATTGATTCGTCACAAAAACACTAGTTGCGACGATAAGCAGTCGTTGCAATTATAGTTGCGACGACAATCGTTGTAAATGAGTCGCTGCAATTATTTCGTCGGTTACATCGTTGAGATGACATGACATTGAGTATTTGCGACGACATTTTATGAATTAAGTCGTCGTAAAAGATGCAAAATTAGCTGACGTGGCTTACATTTTTTAAGACCACACTTGTCGTCGTAAATAATATTTTAATATTTTATTTATTTTTTCTCATTTTAATAATTAATGTTGTATATTCCAATATATTTAAACCCAATATTAAATATAATTCATGATATTATAATAATAAAGAAGAATTAAATAAAAGGAAATAAATAATAAAAAATAGAAATAAAAATTATTATTACAAAAAGTAATTAATAAAATAAAATAAAAATGTAATTAGAGTAGAAATATACGGAAATAAAAATTATTACCTTAATAAAAATCTAATCTCCTAAATTAGGAGCATCACTAGAATCATTATCGTTATCATCAGAAGGATTTGGAGGGGGATGACCTGGACGGACATACGACACATGAGGAGTAACCGTTGGGAAAGTCATGTAGGGGTGCATTTGAGTGATGAAGTCCTGCATCATGGAGGTCGCTTTTCCAATCCTTATAATATTTTGCAGCCTCCCTGTCGACCACAAACCTAATTATACCATCGTTGCGGTCATAATCGAGGTGGAACCATTCTTGTAATACAATATAAACATGTTAAATGATTTTATTATATTGAAATTTAGATTAAATTAAAAAATAATGAAGTTAAATAATTTATACCAGCAGACGCTGCTGAATCTCTCTCTTATGTTGGATGTCCACGTCCTAGGCATCGTGGAAAGGCTCATAGACATCCCTAACATGGATTCTAACTGCACTATCGAACAGGTGCCGTAGTTTTTAATTGCCTTCCAAGTACCTCCACGTTCATCAAACATGAGGGTGATCTTTCCTTCCTTTGCCACTCTGGTAGTGATTTCATGACCCTTAACCTTCCCTCGACCTCCACGACGTCGTCAAGGTGCGGCATCGGGTGTTGTAGAATGAAATATATTTAGTGATCATATAATACTAATGTAATTAATTTAACAAATTTATAATTATGTTCTAACATACCAGACTCACAGTGTGATGGTAACCTATAAAGATCGGGTGGAGGCTGCGCTCCCCCTGAAGAGCCAGCACATGTAGTAACTGGGCCAGACATGATTGCATGTTATGAAGTTTTATCAAATTTTATGAAAATTAACACAAATTATTTTGTAACATGTCTTTAACATTCTATTAACTAATTATAATATTTATTTCTAATTTTTTTAATTAGTAATATAATATTAATTAAAATTTTCATATAAATTTTTCAATCATCCTATACATAATTCAGTATTTTTAACTTCTTAATATTTCCATCTAAATTTTTTAATCATCATATATATTATCCATTATTTTTAACTTCTTAATATTTCCATAGATCACCTATTTTTTAATCATCACTAAACAAATTTCAATCTAATTACCCTAAATTTCAATTTCAATTATAATTTACAATTCACAATTCCTAATCCAAAACCACAAATTAAATTCAATAGCCAAAACAAAACAAAATACCAAAATCACTTTATAAAATACCAAAATATTAACTCACAAAATCCAAACCCACAAACACTGGGGTTTGGAAAACGGTATGGCAGTAGGGTTGGGAGGGCGACGGCGGCCGGAAAACGACGACGATGACCGAAAATTTACTTTTTCAGAATATTTGTCTCCACAAATGAAGGATTTGAAGACTGAATGATATATTTACGCTTTTTTAGAGTTTTTGGATGGTTTTTGGAGGTTTTGGATGGAGAAAGAAGGAGAAAACCGAGAGGGTCATCAGAAAAAATGGAGAAAAGAGTTTTGCGATCGCGCTTATACAGGTGGCTTTTTGCGACGACATTATGTCGTCGTAAAAAATATTAAATAGTCATCGCAATTAATATAAAAATGACGTCGTTCTTCTTCACATCATTAATATTTCTGAGAATATTCTTGAGGAATATACCTGTGTTCATTTTTTGCAACGACTTTGTTAATATGTCGTCGAAAATAATTTTAAGGAAACCGACAAAAGTTTCCACCCTTTTTTTTAGGAAATTTAAATTCTCAGTCATTTGCAACAACATTATTAAACAAGTCGTAACAAAAAATAATCGTTCTTGATAGAATTTTCTGGAACCCTTTTTTGTGATGACGCGTGTCGTCGCAAAAACAGAGTTTTTGGATGGTTTTTGGAGGTTTTGGATGGAGAAAGAAGGAGAAAACCGAGAGGGTCATCAGAAAAAATGGAGAAAAGAGTTTTGCGATCGCGCTTATACAGGTGGCTTTTTGCGACGACATTATGTCGTCGTAAAAAATATTAAATAGTCATCGCAATTAATATAAAAATGACGTCGTTCTTCTTCACATCATTAATATTTCTGAGAATATTCTTGAGGAATATACCTGTGTTCATTTTTTGCAACGACTTTGTTAATATGTCGTCGAAAATAATTTTAAGGAAACCGACAAAAGTTTCCACCCTTTTTTTTAGGAAATTTAAATTCTCAGTCATTTGCAACAACATTATTAAACAAGTCGTAACAAAAAATAATCGTTCTTGATAGAATTTTCTGGAACCCTTTTTTGTGATGACGCGTGTCGTCGCAAAAACAGTCGTTCAATATGTCGTCACAAAAAATAAAGAGATATATGACACCTATTCACGGGAAACTGCCAAATTTTTTGCATGTTTTTTGCCACATCACTGCCAGCTATAAGTATCAATATTTGCAACGACATGTCATTGCAAATAATGGACAAACTGGCGCCATATTGGTTTTGGCGCTAATGTCTATTAGCGACGACATGTCGTCGCGAATAATTTCTCAAATTTTAGCGACGATGTGTCGTCGCAAAGAGTGAAATTTTCTGTAACGACATTTCGTCATAAATAGTGAATGCGACAACATGTCGTTCAAAAATTTTGTTTTTTTATTACTGACGATATGTCGTCGCTAATACTGTAATTTTAGCAACGATAAATGTCGTCGCTAATAACACTTTTTATTGTAGTGTATCTCGCCGTTATGGTTTTTAGAGGTTTTCGATGGAGAAAGAAGGAGAAAACCGAGAGGGTCATCAGAAAAAATGGAGAAAAGAGTTTTGCGATCGCGCTTACACAGGTGGCTTTTTACGACGACATTATGTCGTCGTAAAAAATATTAAATAGTCATCGCAATTAATATAAAAATGACATCGTTCTTCTTCACATCATTAATATTTCTGAGAATATTCTTGAGGAATATACCTGTGTTCATTTTTTGCAACGACTTTGTTAATATGTCGTCGAAAATAATTTTTAGGAAACCGACAAAAGTTTCCACCCTTTTTTTTTAGGAAATTTAAATTCCCAGTCATTTGCAACAACATTATTAAACAAGTCGTAACAAAAAATAATCGTTCTTGATAGAATTTTCTGGAACCCTTTTTTGTGATGACGCGTGTCGTCGCAAAAACAATCGTTCAATATGTCGTCACAAAAAATAAAGAGATATATGACACCTATTCACGAGAAACTGCCAAATTTTTTGCATGTTTTTTGCCACATCACTGCCAGCTATAAGTATCAATATTTGCAATGACATGTCATTGCAAATAATGGACAAACTGGCGCCATATTGGTTTTGGCGCTAATGTCTATTAGCGACGACATGTCGTCGCGAATAATTTCTCAAATTTTAGCGACGATGTGTCGTCGCAAAGAGTGAAATTTTATGTAACGACATTTCGTCATAAATAGTGAATGCGACGACATGTCGTTCAAAAATTTTGTTTTTTTATTATTGACGATATGTCGTCGCTAATACTGTAATTTTAGCAACGATAAATGTCGTCGCTAATAACACTTTTTATTGTAGTGTATCTCGCCGTTTAGCATAATCATATAACATACATAAATTAATTCAGTATTGACGATTAGTGTTTTTAATAAATTAAAATTAATTAATTCCTCATCACCCAAGCTCTAACTTGAGCTGGGGCATTGCAACTTATTAATTACTTCTTTTAAACAATGACAATTTGCTGAAAAGAATAAAAAAAAGAAAAAGTGAGAACCTATGATCAGCTATATCCAAGAAGCTTCTGAACTCATGATAATAAACCACTATTGAAAGGCACTCCTGTCTGAGGCAACCAGTCATCTCCAAGCAAGAAATTGAACACCGTGAAGTTCCCAACATCAGAAGAATTACCGATCACATGATAGCCAGGCCATCTGACTCTGTTCGTAGTGTCCGATCCCGGTCCAGTATTGTTATACTCCGCATAGTACGAAGTGTTGAGCGCAAAATCTCCATTCCATTCACGCCAACCAGCAGGATCAACAACACTATCAATGTAAGACTGCATGTAAACCGTCGTCGAATACTCCTTCCACGGCCTCCCGAGATAAGTCTTGATGGTACCGTTGCTCGCCGCCAAGTCGTCGGCGGCTTTGATGGTGCAGTTGTGAATTGAAATGCCGGTGTTCTGATTGGGGTCCGTCCTGCCTTGAGCTGTGATGGCGTTGAACTGGTTCTGCATGGGAAGGCGGGGGTACATGTTGCAGTTCTGGAAGACGACGGCGGCGTTCCCAAAGATGAAGTCGACGGTGCCGTAGATGTCGCAGTCGCGGTAGAATTGCCGGAGGGAGTGGGTGTAGAGAGTGTCTTGGTAGGCTTCGAAGCTGCAGCTGTAGAATGTGGAGAGATCGGCGCCGTTTCGGAGCGCGACGGCCTGGTGCTTGATTGCTCCGGCGGTGTTGCGGAAGGTTATGTTCACCGCCACGAATCCCGGCGCCACAACGGCTGCAAGGTTGGCGTAGAATAATTAGGTCATCAGAAAACTAGGGGTTCGTTTAGCAGATGAATCTAGAATCATAATTTTAAATCCTGATTTAGAATCGGTATTTATTTATAGTAATTCTAAATCATGATTTGAAATTAGTATTTGGTTTGTATGATTCTGAATCATAATTCAGAATCAGTATTTAGTTTGTATGATTTTGAATCATGATTCAGAATCTGATGTGATGTTTTAAACCAGAATCACTCATGATTCTAAAACCACCTCCATCTTGATTCAAGGTGATTCAAACTCTTGATTCTGAATCATGATTTGAACTCAAAATTATGAATCATGATTCTGATTCTAAAATTATGATTAGAATCATCTTAGTTTGAATCCTCAAACCAAACGAATCTTAAAACATTTCAATATGTGGTTTGGCTCCACATGAGTCATAAATATGTACATCTTTTGGCACGACTGAACTGAACAGATAGTGTCTTTTTTTTTTTTCCCCTTGTCACTGTTACAGGGGTTATGTCCTGTTAGTTACAAACGTGAGATCCTATGATAAACATACAACAAAATTTAATGGAAATTTATGATTTGTAAAAAAAAAAAAAAAATTAAAACTAATATGTATACATGTTTAATTAAATAAAAGAATTCTTATGACATTACCGTATTAAGAACTACATCTAATAATTAAAAATTGAATTTTTTTGTAAATCCTTTGTTTTAGAACTCACCTTTTGTTAAAGTACGATGGTTACCACTATGTTGGTGCTTCTAACAATATTGTTGAAATAAATATGGTGTAAATAGCATAAACTTTAAGGGGGTTTAATGGTCATGAATATATATTTTAAAATCAATTTTATTTTTATGTTTAAAAATGCCAAATATTTATTTTGAAAAACTATATGGATCCAAGCAATAATTTGCTGACTTTAACATTATTATATGATGAGTTTCTTATCACCCTTAAAAAAGGAAATTTAAAGCTTTAACTTTATTCAAGACAGTACTTACCAAATGTGGCAGAGTTGTAAGTCGTCCACCCATCGACGACACTCCGGTTTCCTGTAATAATAGTCTGATTGATCCCATCTCCGATCATCATCAAGTACCTCTTGTTCTTCGCAATGGACACATACTCTTCATAAACACCCGCCGTCACATAAATCAAGAAGTACCCATTGCTAGCCAAAGAGTTGTTCGGCGCGGCGCTAACGGCGTCGTTTATGGTCGTGAAGTTTCCGCTACCGTCCTGACACACCGTCACGATATCGTTCACCGACACTACCTCGTCGTTCTCATCCTCCGCCTGAAGCAGCTTCCGCCGGCTCACCGCCTCATAAACGGCCCTATTCTGCCCCGACATCCGCAACGGCAACCGTCTGTTTGTGGTCCCCAACTGCTTCCCTCCCGGCGACCACGTCGTCGCCTTCTTCTTCTTAGGTACCCAACCTTTGGTGAAGAGAGCGAGGGAGACGCTGTAGAGCTTAGTGTCGTTTTTGAGCGGGGCTGAGATGCCATTTTTGACGCTCCAAGACGACGCCGTTGCTTGTATGCCATCCAAGCAGGTTTGCTGGTTGGTCAAGATTGCGCTCAGCAGGGTTTGGACGTCTTCGGCCTTTAGGGTTGAGAGGACTCTGCTGGTTTTGTTGACGGTTTCGAAGGAGCTCAACAGGAAGTCCAAGTTTAGACCTGCGAGCTGCCGGCAGTCCTCGAGAGCTCGGACCGCCGGCACCGATAGCTTGTCGCGGTTTCGGAGGTACTTTTCGATTAAGGACTTGAATTTTCGGGCTTGGGATACGGATTTTTTGACCGAGGCACGGCCGTAGTAGTAGACATTCCCGGTTTGGTTATAGGGTTGAAGAACATTTTTACAGTATGTTGGATCTGGGATGTTTTTGCAAAGGTTTTTCGGGGATACAGGAGTTGTTGGAGAGGTGTTATCTGCAGCCAAAGATGGAGAAGAAAAGGAGAAGAAGATGAAAAATGAAGCAGCTAAAATGGTCATGACTAGCTTGAGAGCTTTCATGGCTTTGGAGAAAAGGAAAGTTGTTTTTTTGAGAATGTGTATGTTATGTGTATTGATTAGTGGGATTTGTTAAGGGGAATTTGGTTTTAATTTATAAGGGAGTGTTGGGAATGAGTGATATTGAGCTTTATGTAAAATATAATACTGTAGTTGTAGGGGTTAAAAGAGAGAATTTAATAAGGTGGTATTGTATTTTGTCAAAGTCAACCTCTAAAACTGTACAAAAGCGCGTCGATCTTGCAGGACTTGGACGTTCCATGTGTACGTTGCCATGAATGTTAGAGATAAAGACTCAGACAGGTTCTATTTTCGGAGCATATTTTTGTAAATCTAACTTAATTCAATATTTGATCTTCTAGAATATATTTTCTATTCAAATTGATATATTACATTTTCATTTATTTTACTAATTCGAATTTTACTATAGTAAAAAACTTTCAGAAACAGTGACATTTAACTTTTTTATTACAGTAAAAAATTCTCATATAAAATTACATCTCAATTCAAATTAAAAACTCAAATCATCAAACTAAACAGACCCTACATATATTTTATTCCTCGGCATCTGGGATTGGCTTTCCACTACACACATATACGTCATTTCTAAATGCAGGTTGTTGTGTTGGTGCATGACAACCGGATTAGTGGAATTATTGTAACGTTGGATATGCAGTCTTTACGCCTAATGTAGATAATAATAGACAAATTAGTTATATTTTTCCAGATTTTGTCTGATCATTTGCGAGATTCAACTTTGAATTTCAAGCGTGAGTGGTCAAGTTGAATCCAAAATTAAAAAGAAAAAAAAAGAGAGAAAAGGTATTACTGGCCAGTCCTTTTCTCCAATATATTGATATTTCACTGTGCAGTTGGTATGGTTAATACACCAACCATTAGTGGAACCTCATTTCCTTAATTTTTTTGGTAGACAGTTTCATTGTTTAATTGGACCCATGTCTATCTACCTAGCTACATTTTCTTGCTACATATTTAAGTGGTGGCCACAGCATTGAAGTCGTTAATTCATTGACGCATATTATAAAGCTATATGTAGAAGCTATATGAAATTATTTTTGAAGAGTCAATTAGCTAGCTATATATACTTAATCCTGATCATGAAGTGGGAAGTGATAAGTCGGAGATATCTTTTTCAAAGTTTTACCTTAGTTTTTTATTATAATAAGTTTTCTTTTATGATTAAGTTTGAATGCGTTTCATTGGCATCTAATTTGACTAATGAGACAAATTAGCAAAAGACTTTTGCATTTTGAAAGGAAGGATATATGATATATGATTGAAAAAGTAATTGAGATTACTACGATAGGGAATTATAGTCCATTTGAAGTTGCTTGTGCTTTTAATAGAAGCACTACTTTTACATAAAGTAAAAATATAAGTAAAAATAGAATTTAAAAATTAGACATTTTAACTTCTTAAAATAATTTAAAAAATATATTAATTTATGTGTAAAATACTTTTATCCGCTTTTATTAAACACTACAATTATATCATTTATTATGCAAAATACTTTTGAGAGTTTTAAAAATAATCTCAAACACACCCTTAATTCGACGGTGGGTTTTGACTACTTTCTCTTTTCTTTGACAGCAAAGAGTTTGGCAGTATTCATTTTGGTCAACACAAAGAAGGGATGTGAGGCCCACTTTTCGTATGTTTTCGATTACACAATCAATTAAAAGGTAACATTCTTTCACTAACGTGGGTTTTGGTGGGATATTTTTACAAATTGAAAAGTCAGGCCAATGTAAATGACATACACATACATAATTTTCGGTAGAATGTAAATCTTGCGTACTGAATATAGAAGTGATCTAAATAGCAACAGTTTTTTGGTAACATGTTCTACTTTTAAAATTACAATAGTTTCCCATTGCTTAAATCTCTACTGGTCAATATATATAGAAGCAAAGTTTGGATTACTATAACATACAACGTCAATGAGATGGTGAATATGTAACTTGCTAAGTGGATCAATATTAGAGTCACATTGAGTTAAGTGGGTACACGTTTAGAAATTTTGATTTTTTAAAAAACTTTTTTATTAAATTTAGTTTTGTCTCTATTATATATATAATATAATTATACTCTCATTCAATAATTGAAATATATGTCTTTATGCCCCAATGTTCAAGAAAGAAAAAACACTACAACAAAAAAGCCATTTGCGACGACAAATGTCGTCGCAAATAATACAATATTTGCAACGACATGTCGTCGCAATTACTCATCGTTAAATAAAATAATCATGTTGTCGCTAATAACTTAAATGTCGTCGCAAATAATTTTGGAGCGCAAATTTCAATGGTGCGGATTTTTACCGTCAAGGTAATCAATTTTTTGCGACGAAAAGTCGTCGCAAATAATATTATATTTGCGACGACATTTGTCGTCGCAAATAATTTCATGTTATTTGCGACGACATTTTCTCTTTGTCGTCACAAATAATCTTTTTAAGATTTCACCAAAAACTAAACGCGGGAAAAATGATTATTTGCGATGACATTTTAAATTTATTTGCGACGACAATGTCGTCGCAAATAAGTCTGATCTAATATACCATATCTTCTTCCTCTTCATTTTCCCCCGATGCTTTCTCTCTCTCCTGCTAAGTCTCTCTCTGTGCCTCTTGTTCCCCTTGCCGCCACCGCCGTCCGTTGCCACCGGCCCTCTTCTCTCTCTCTTCCCTTTTCTTTCTCTCTCTTCCCTTCTCTCTTCTTCCCCTCTCCGGCCGCCGCCGCCGCCCCGCCCCCGCCATTCCTCTCTCCTTTTCTCTCTCTCTCTCTCTTCCCTTCTCTCCCTCTCTTCCCTTCTCTCTCTCTCTCTTCCCTTGCTCGCCGCCGCCGCCACCGGCCGGATTCTGCCGCCACCCCGCCGAATCACCCGTCCCCGCCTCACCGTTCGACGTTACCGGTATGTTTTACACACTCCGGTAACTTTTTTATTGTTTGAATGTGTTTTGTTGAGTTGTTTGTAAAGTGTTTGTAAAAATGTCTAAATGAGGTTTCTAAACATTTACTATCAGGCTGTGTAAATGTTAGTTTATGACGTTAATTTATAATTATTTTTGAACTAGTGGTTAATTTATTAATTTACATTATTTGTTAACATAATTAGATTTAATGCTAAGGAATGAAATTTTTTTGTGTATTTAAATATGTTACTCTAGATGTTAATAAAATGTTAATTTCGATCACGTTAAATTATGTTCGATGTTTCAATTGGAAGTAGGCGTTTGATTTTTCACCTTCGTCGTTGTTTGCCCGGTTCCTTAGACGTAATCCCGCTATTTTCAGCCCCCGTTTAGTGGGTTTGAACTTTGTAAGTTTTTTATATCTATTGTACTTTTAGTTTAAAATTGTTGTAGTTTTTGGTTGTATGAATTCGGGATTATGATTTTGATATTTGAACTATGATTTTCTTATATTGTTGAAATTTAGTATATGTTTGTGATTCTTATTCTGGGTGGCACATCTTGCAACTATGGTGTGCCGAAATCTTTTGAAGTTGTTTTTCTGCAGGTTTAGATTTTTAGATCATAAGAAAAATAAGCCGTTATGTTGCCAAAATTTAGTTGGAAAACGAGAATTTTAATAAGTTCATTAACAAACTTTAATGAATAAAATTTAATTGTGTTAATAAAGAGTAAAATTAAAATTAATTAAACACATTAATAAATTGTTATGTCTGTTGTTGTGTATAGTTGAAATGCCGATTGACAAAAGTTGGATTTATTTGAGGAAGTGATTGCAGCCCAACATCCAATTACCTACGATTGATCGTCCAGAACCAGTTGACCTAGACGCTCCTCTGCCTCCTTCAGATGATGACGGTCCTGATGATGATTCAGATGTTGGCGATGCTGCAAACTTAGATGATTAGTTCCGTTATATGTACTTTTTTATTTTTCACTTTATTTAGACTTTTATATTTTTTTGAACATTATATATGCACTTCATGTAGTATTCATAATATATTTTATAAATTTATTTAGATTTACTATTTTTAATATTAATTTATATTTCACTTTTAATGTATCTTAATAAATTCTATTAAGTATGTAACATAATAATGTTTAATTAAAATTATTAAAAATTAATTAATTGCTAATTTCGGATTTTTGCGATTGTAGCTTAACTCAAAAAATTATAAAATATAAAAATATGTCTCCAATTAACAAAATCTATTTCTATTTTCTTTATGTCTCCAATTAACAAAATCTATTTCTATTTTCTTTTTTCCTTTATCTTTA